GATCCTGCTATCCCAGCCCCTCGATCCTGCTATCCCAGCCCCTCGATCCTGCTATCCCAGCCCCCTGATCCTGCTATCCTAACCACCGATTCCGCTATGCTAACCCTCCTAACCCCCGATTCCGCTATCCTAACCTTCCTAACTCCGGATTCCCCTATCCTAACCTTCCTAACTCCGGATTCCGCTATCCTAACCTTCCTAACTCCGGATTCCGCTATCCTAACCCTCCTAACCACCGATTCCGCTATCCTAACCCTCCTAACCCCCGATTCCGCTATCCTAACCCTCCTAACCCCCGATTCTGCTATCCTAACCCTCCTAACCCCCGATTCCGCTATCCTAACCCTCCTAACCCCCGATTCTGCTATCCTAACCCTCCTAACCCCCGATTCCACTATCCTAACCCTCCTAACCCCCGATTCCGCTATCCTAACCCTCTTAACCCCCGATTCCGCTATCCTAACCTTCCTAACCCCCGATATTGCTATGCTAACCCTCGACGAGAGACCTTTTGCTCCGAACGTTCATGACGAAACTGTCTACATTAGTCTGGTAATCGTAATCTTAATCCTATAATTAAATGAAATACGAAAAAGAAGTTATAATTAATTATATATTAATCCTATAGTTAAATTATGTATCATTATTATGAAGTAATCCTTCGAGACGAATCCCCCCGTCAAAGTGTGAACATACGAACGTTCGGCTAAAATCGTAACAGATGGCGCTGCCGTCAGAAACGTCTCACCGCGGAGTGGGAGGAGTGCCGTCATGACACGTCGGGGCGAAAGAGACGAGGGTCGTTATACGAGTGAACCGTACGTGTGGACGCCGATACGTGACGACTGAAAACGTTTCCTCCGTCGACCCACTCCCGGGAAGTTACTAACAGTTATTAGGCGATGCGACTCCTGTAGTCTCTATTTCTTTTCAGATAACTTGTGTTGTGATTGGAGATGTATTGAATCAGGGTCAGAATGTACTGGTCGTGGTCACTGGTGATGGTCTCATACACCTGTTTTGCCTGCTATCACAGACTGCCAATGCTCATGTAAGTTATAAATTAAGGTGAAAGATTTCGTAAGCACAGTACTCACAGCATTCCACACAGCGATCTGTATGCAATTGGGGCCTTTCCTGGATTGCACTACCTAGAAAATTGTTGGTCACTTTAACCCTTGACCCAATTTGATACAATTTCCACCAATCAGAGTCGGCCCTGTTGCACAAGGCACTAGCTGCCGTTAGACTTGTTTGTATTTTCACTGTGTAGAAACGAGAATAGGAAACCAGCTAGCTGACATTGCAATGTCTCAGGTTAATTGCCAAAGAGACACCTCTAATTATACTATATATACTAGCTATATTGTCACATACGATTATGTATCATTGCACTAGTAGTATGCGTAGTTGTATAGTTAAATATTGTAGTAAGCCAGTGGAAATTCTCAATATGTAGCGGCATTGCAGTCTGCCATTTCCAAATCTGTTTTTATTTAGCTGTTGAGTGTTTGTTTTTTCTCATGCAGAAGCAGGAGTCAGAAGCGAAATTGGACCACTGTATTAGCCAAGAGAGCAGTGAGACAATCTTGCCTACTTACACACAGAAAGTACCGGCTAATATTTATATCGCTCTACTCGCTGACATAGGTATGTATACATCTACATCAAATCTACATCTACATCTACAACAAATCTACATCTACATCTACATCAAATCTACATCTACATCTACATTAAATCTACATCTACATCTACATTAAATCTACATCTACTTCTATATCTACATCTACATCCACTTGTTTATTGGACAGGCCATACAAGCAGTGATAGTGTCCAAGAAATTTCCCTAATTCCAGGTGCTCATGTGTGGTGTATATATATGTGTTAATGCTAACATGGAGACCATGAATTTGGCCATACCCTAATTTAGATTGCAAGGTTGTAGAATCTTATATATTCATAAACACTTCCCACTCTTATGGCAGCTTCTATAAATTCATAAATAACCTTTGAAGTTAACCTTTAACCTGGAAATAATTTTGTTTATATTGTAACGACGATGATGACGTTACCCGTTTCAAAGTAGATTCGTTGTAAGTTGAAAGTGAAAAGGAAAACTCCAAAGTCTAAGCAGTTGTGTTCAGCAAATAGTATTATTGTTTCTCAACCCACATACGCGCGCACAAAGGCACGCAGCCGCGTGCCTCGCACACTCACGTCCGACCCCCCTCACAACCAAGTCCCTTTTCCTCAAGATCTTTAAACAACCCTGCCATTATATATGTATGATATCTATATATATGCTTACTCAACATCATGCTCCAGCTTACAACATCTCTTCATCTTAAACCGCAGGATTCACACGCGTGTATGCGACGCATATGCTATCGATATGTAACAATAACAAACACTGTTAACACAACAAATGTCATAACAACGTGTTCCTAACTAAATATATTCTGCCGTATTCAGCGTCACAATATTTTCCAAAATAACATAATCTGTGCTTGCCATTACCGCGTCGCCAGCCTTCTATAGTATCCAACTATACACCTGTGCATAACTAGATATCATACGATTATCTACTGTGCCTTCATATATGACGTGACTGAACGAATCCTTATATCGTTCAGGTACGTCGTAGTATCTTAGGGTGCTTACACATCGAGCGTATCTATATCCCGTGCTCCCTGACACGTTATGTGGAGGATTCCCAGCGTATATATGCTGCCACAGAAATCCCCCGTAGTCCTTCTCTCGGACCATGTAAGCGACTTGTCTTTACAGAGACATAACTTTAGCCGCGTATGCTAACATCGTTTCCATGCATTAAACGTGAAGTTGTTGCATATGCATACGCGCGCACAAAGGCACGCAGCCGCGTGCCTCGCACACTCACGTCCGACCCCCCTCACAACCAAGAACCTTTCCCTTTTATACATTTCTAGCTAACAAAGAAAGTCGTGCGCGCCCGGACAACCACACCCGCTGCCCACATGCACAACAACCCCCTCTCAACCGTTTCGCATCTCCATCATCCATACTACATCAAACACGCTACCGCCTACCAACCCATTATGCAACCACAGTCGCTACATTTCCAATCACTCGACTACTATTTGTAACATCTGCAAACCATACTTTACAATATTACCTAAATCGATGTCATTCTATCGGCATCTAGATTTTCACAGTTTCTGTTACCAACTATATATATATGGTATTTTAAGCAATCCTGTGTCGACATTAAGTCAAGATGTCTCCATACGATCCAGACGGCGACGGACAGTTGGAGTTCGTCGTGGCGATGACCGATCGCGTCGTGAGGTCCTACAGGTGGCGCTGTACGTCGGGCGATGCGGAGGCGGGTGGGAGCGGGTGCCTCGTCGCTCAACACAAGTGGGAGATGTTCAGTCAGATCGGCAGCGTGGATGTGAACAGCGATGAGTTTGGCCGGCAGTACCTGATGGTGTCGCAGCCCGGCGGAACATACGTCAGCCTGGTAACGAACTCCCTCGGCTATCCCAGCCCCCCGATCCTGCTATCCCAGCCCCCCAATCCTGCTATCCCAGCCCCTCGATCCTGCTATCCCAGCCCCTCGATCCTGCTATCCCAGCCCCTCGATCCTGCTATCCCAGCCCCTCGATCCTGCTATCCCAGCCCCTCGATCCTG